GTTAAATCTGAGACCAAACTAACCACCAATGTAAACTAAGTATCAGTGGCGGTGAAAACAGGAGTTGATCAGCAATATACATCTTGAAAATAATTGATTAAAGATGACTCAGACATGCACCAATCACTCCAAATACAACTTCCAGAAGGTAAAGGAGAAGGAAACAACTTTAATGTGGTTCAAAACTCTGAAAAGTCCATTTTACATAATAGGTCTGCTTTAAAATAACTCTGCTTGTGTGCTTTCTGCGTCTCATTAGAAAGTGTTGGTCAAATAATCAGAAAGTGCACGTTAACATGCTAGTTTTTGTCAGCTTTATCATCACGGCAGAACCCTCGCTGGTTGTGAAAAGTGCTTATAAGCTCATCGTGGTGAATAATTAGGACGCTCAGCTTAACTAACTTGCAAACTAGTTGTTTCTTTGTTGTTTTTTTGTTTGTTTTTAAGATCAGGTATAGCCTCCTGGGACCCAAAGAAAAAAAAAGTGTATTGCAATATATAATGAAAACTGTCTGCATGATGTTCAGCAAAAAAACAATTGATCTACAGCGGTCCAATGTCTTTCTGGACGGCGTGGAACTCAGCCTTGTCAAAGAGTTTAAATCCCTGGGACTGACGTTGGACCCGACATTGACATTTAAGAAACACATTAAGCGCCAAACAAAAACTGTTCATTTTAACTTAGTGAATTTTAGACAAGTAAGACCTTTTATGACTTTATATGTGGCACGAATGTTTTTACACTCCATGATTCTGTCCCATATAGACGACTGCATAACCACATGGTCACTCGCTGCTGCACAACACTCAAACCCATCGAATCACTTTTTTAAAAAGCCATAAAAATATTGGAAAAGAAACCATTCTCATTTCACCACTGCACTATTTTAGACAAGTATAATTTGCTTAATTTTAATAATTTTATTGGTTTTAAATATGGATGTTTTGTCTATAAAGTTTTGCATGGACTTGCCCCTCCTCCATTACAGGATTTTATTAAAGTAAAGACTGTGAGTGGGATGGGAACTAGGGCCACAGCTCAGGGGAACTGTGACGTCCCACACAGACGCACAACATTCGGACAAGGTGCGTCTCAGTCAGAGGCACAAAACTTTGGAACAGTCTCCCACTATCAATAAGAGAAACTCCAACTCTTGCCACCTTCAAGTCCTCCTTAAAAGAGCGGCTAAAGAAAAAACAGACTTGTGGACACTTTTAGTATAGATTTGTTACTTGTTTTTGCTTTGTTTAAATTTGTGGTGTTACCTGCCAAGGGACTACAGATGGAAATTAGCAGTCTTGCTATAATCTGGCATATTTACACTGCAATGTTGTAGATGTTCATTAATATGCACTGTCCCTATTAAATAAATAAATAAAATATTTTGTGATTTTCTATCTACTTGGAGGTAAATGAACACCTTAGCATTTATGTCCTCTGTAATGGACACTGAGGACATTATGGTGGTCAACAACCTAACAATAACAACTTTTTTGATGACCAACATGTCTGACAAGCCTCTACAGTCGCCTCAAAAACATTTTTAGACTCCCTTTTAATTTCTTATTTATTTATTTATGTTTACAATGGTGCAGCCACAAACTAACTATGGAGTTCATTTTTTTTATCCTGGATATGATAGATACCTATAAACCCCCGGCCCTGTTCAGGCAGAGGAACCTAGTCTCCCCATTAAGAGTCTGTCTCACACTTAAAAGATCGACTGGTTAACTCAGTGTCCACTATAAAGGACACAAATGAATGGGCCAGGTGCCAGGAGGATAGAACCTTTAAAATGAATGTAAGTGTAAATGACTCAGATTTTGGACTACTTTTAGACACCTTGGCATTACTGTTTCATGTTTTAAAAGTGCACATGTCACTTTTCTGTTAGACGGTCATTTCCTTGTTCCCATGAAGATGTAAATGCTTTGCTTTAATGCTGGGAAAGCATGGCAACTTCTAACTTAATTTATTCAATTACAGGTGTTTTACTGCACAAAACATATCTTGAAAAACATATCTTCCTACTGCAGTGCAGCCTCTCTGCAGATCTCTGTGACAGTGTCATCTCTGTAGCTCAAATTAAATTGTGTTTGGTCTTTGATCCAAAAGTCAGCAGTTCAAATCTCACTCCTGACATACGGGAAGGTCCAGCTCCCATAGATGAATACTGTTATTGTGTCTGTTTTACCATAGATAAGTTTAATGCCATACTAATGAAACATTATAGGCGAAGCAATAACATCACCATGGTCTACCCATTAAAGTGTTCAATGATTTTCTCTTAATTTAATACACATTGTTGTTGTGTGTTCCTCAACAGTGTGCTGATATTTACAGCCTCGCCACATTTACCATAGCAACAAATGTGAGCTGTGCATCTTTAATTGATTTAAATAGATTAATTAAATGGTCCTATTTTGATTCTAAACTGAAAACCAAATGAATAATAAAAGTTAGTCAACATGGAACCAGATTAGTATGTAAAATATGAAAAGCTCTGTTTGTGATGTCATGTTGAGGTAGTTTTCAAGTGAACAGCTCCTTTTAACTTTACTTCAGTAGAGATTGTAAATTCCAGGGCTGAAATTATCCAAAAGATTCTAGTGAAGGTGTATGGAGTTTTAAAACACCTCCTGTATCACCTCATGCCATCACAACTTACAACAGAGTGTTTCTGTTTGAGGAGTCCTCAAACAGAAATATGCCGGGTTTGTGTGTTATACGTTTGAATGGAAATGTGTGAAGGAAACAAAACACATCTCCAGGTATGTTTTTGATAAGGAAACAATATAACATAGATCAGATCTTTAAAGAGACAGTCTGGAATTTTGGACATAGGACCTCATTTCCTAGTGAGCCAGAGTGTTGGAGACGTGTGGAGACACTTTCTTTAATATTCCATCCAGTCCTTGTATTTGCAGAGGTCGCTGGTGCTAGTCTAGTGCATGTCAATGGGCATAGTTATCCTGCCACTAAAAACAGACTTACCCACTCCACAAAACAGCCGAAGAAAATCTATTATTACACCAGACTGTCCATGTAAATGTCTGTGTTGATAGAATCATTTTAGAAGTAGAGCTGTTGCAATAACCACAAAAATGAATCACCGCGGTACTAAGAGGTCCACCACGTGCATGTTGGGCCACCACGATCACTGCATGTGACCCGACCCAGAATCCTGCACGGGTCCATTTTTAGAGACCCGCACCCGCTCGCCTGGACCTGTTAACATTCCATCAGTTACCGCCCGTGCCCAGGACTAACCCAGGACTAACCCAGGACTAACCCAGGACTAAACCCAGGACTAACCCAGGACTAACCCAGGACTAACCCAGGACTAACCCAGGACTAAACCCAGCACTAAACCCAGGACTAACCCCAGGACTAAACCTTGGACTAAGGCGCGCCCGCGTAGACCGTCAGGTGACCACAGGTAAAAGGACCGCCGCAGAGCGGTGCGACCATCGCCCCGATCACACTTTGCGGACACCTGCTTTGCATGCTTGGGGTACTTTCTCTCTTTTAAGTCTGCGGGTACCTGAGCTGATCCAGGACTCTGACCCGAGCTGCCACAGTGAGAGCTGGAGAGATGCAGAGGGAGAGATCCCTCCTAGCACACTCTATATCCACACACAACCAAAGTACACGTGCATCTGTGCAACAAGCGCATCATCGGAGAGAGTTTTCAGAGCCGCTGGAAATATTATAGCTCCGGGGGATGTGGGGTGGGGGAGGGGGTGCTGTATCATCACATGTTGAGCTGCTATACCGTACCGCAGGAGAAATTCCCGAACCGCAACAGCTCTATGTAGAAGTAAAACCAACCTTGCATTTGAAGAATTTATGTCTGAGCAGAAGCAGCAAGTTTTACTTCCCGACAGAAAGCTTGACAGCAGTGGACTGATATCCCCTAGCACCAATCTCACTTGCAAAGTAAAATTCTGCTGCTGCTGAAAAAATAGTCCCTCAACATGCGACGATTCGTGCGATGCAAGGTTAGTTTTATTTCAAACATTATTCTATCAACACATACATTTACCAACAGTCTGATGTAATAACAGATTTGCTTCGGGTGTTTTGTGGAGTGGGTAAGACTGTTTTTAGTAGCAGGATAACTATGGCCATTGACATGCACTAGTCTGACACCAGCGACCTCTGCAAATACAAGGACTGGATGGAATATTTTAAAAAGTGTCTCCACACGTCTCCAACACTCTGGTTCACTAAGAAATGAGGTCCTATGTCCAAAATTCTGGACTGTCCCTTTAACTAATCTAAACTAAGTTTCTTATTTTCTCTGCAAAAGCTTTTCTATACCAACCTAAGAGTTGGATAGTGCAGACAGAAACTTTTTGTATGTACTGTCCCCTTTGATCTAAAGAGAATGTTGGGTTCAATCTGCAAAAACTAAAATAGACCTTAAACTCAAGTAAAGAGTAAAAAATGTATTTGGGAAAAATAGTAAATTGAAAGATGACATTTGAAGTGACACAAAAATGAGAAAAACTACATCATCTCTAAAGGAGCAGTACAAGAAATACAATTGTTCAAATCATTTCATATTGTCACATAAAGCTTTTGTCACTTTTAGACTCACAGTGGGAAGAGGAACCAAAACTTTAACTCAAGTTCTTTTACTAAAGTCGGAGTACGCTATGCTGCTAGAAAAGTACTCTGAGAGGTACAATTTCTTCAAAAAGTTAAATATAACTGAATACGCCCACCCCTGTTTGCACATTTGGACTATAAGGACTGTCTACTGCCACTAATATGAAAACTGAAAAGTGAAATTTGCAGTTAAAATCACCGTCCCCAGGTTTATTTCGACACGCTGCGTTATTTGCGCTTGTCGTAGGGGGTCTAGTCTAACGTTGGCTTGAGGAAACGTGTGAACCACCACCAACCAAGCAGAGCACCAACCACAGCGGAGGATGTCCTTACATGACTCCCGTCTCCAGAGCCCCTGCGCCCGCCTCACCTCTCCAACATCCTCTCGGACCGGCGGAGAGGAAGGAACCGTCAGTGCGCGCTCCCCCGAAGACTAAACAGGAAATAAAGGGGATTTTTGAGCACGTATTTTCACAAGATAACTAGAAGCACAATGTTAAACGCGGAAGATTTTGTTGAGCAGATCAAATGGGAGTAACCAGCAGGAGCAGCAGCAGCAGCAGCGGGGGAAGTGGCGTAGCGAAGCCGAGATGAGAAGCTCGCACATCGGGTAAGACATTTGGCAAGATCGCAAACTTTTTACGCGCAAATAAGTGGAATAAAAGAATGCACGAACCGTATTTGGCGATGTTTTCCAAATTGGCAAAGTGATAATTATAGATTTGAAGCTAATTTGCCTTTTAAATGTGGTTAATTGTCGAGTCGTGGCGCACACCTGTAGATTCGCAACGTGACAAATTAGCATGTCGAAAATCAGTGGCGATAACACGTTTCTAAGCTTGGATTTGCGTAAAGGTTTTTGTGTTTAAATCTTTTCATAAAGCGAGAAGAAATATAACTTTTTAGGAGGATTTTTAAGCAGCGTTACCGTTCAGAGCTGACGTGTTCAACGCCTGGTCCCCGGGCAAAATCTGGTCCCCACATGTTGTGATTTTAGGTCAAGCATCTGGTTCTTCTGCTCGTGACCTCTGCACCAGTGGCTCTTAGGGCAGAGAAAGCAGTTTAGTAAAGTCAACTAAGAAAAAAGCAGGTCCTATAAAACAAATGTTTCAACTCTACATGGTAAAATGCACACCTTGTTTTTCCGCACTAAAGTGACCTAATTTAAGTGTTAATATTAGCAAATGCATGGCTCCTGCGTTTTTATAGCTGTTTTTAATCTTTGCTATTTGAGTCTTTATCCTTTTTTACGGCTGTAGATAAAATCATGTTTTATTTGAAAGGTTGCAGTCTCGTGCATTAGGTGATGTTTTATAATTTGATAAGATCAGTGTTTGTTTCAGCATATCCTGGACAACTAAATTAATTTGATAAATACACTGTGTTTTTTCAATCAATCTAATCTAGAAATTAGCTGCAGTTCAAATACAGTATGCAAACTCTCGATAACTATATTGAAATTACTTACTAGACAGCCATTCTGAAGTGTATAGACACTATTATTGAAGCTATTATGAACTTAACTTGAAATATAAATACTGACAAAAAATAAAAGTAAAAGTACCTTTCCTGAATGCAAAAATATTGAAATATTGATATATCATATTGTTTAATTTGATGATACAGTATTGATATTGTGGGCTGTTATATTGACATATTGGCAAAAGTAATTTTAGCTAAATTTAGCTAAATTATTTTGTGTAAGAGCTACAGTTGTGTTGACATTTTCACTGTTTTGATGAGTAAAATGGGTGTTTTTCATTAACTTTGCACAAACTTAGTGGACTTAGTAGACTTTTAGTATCACACCCATGGTTAAGCCTGTCTCGAAGCGATTGGAAATATATCATATTGAATAGTATTGAATTGAAAGTGCACGGTATCGAAAAACATATCATATCGAGGCCTATACATCGAGGTATGTATCGTATTGGCAACTTCTTAATGATACCCACACCTATTTCTGAATCATTTTGATGGTATCACAAGGTATCCACAAGACCACATGGCATGATTTACTGGTAAAACTACTATCAACTACTACTAATCTTGTCTAATGTTGTTAAAGAACACGTATTGTGCTTGTGTCTACTTTATATTTTTAATGATGAGTGTGTATGATCGTTGTTTATAATTTGCACATTTTAAATCACAATATTCATCTAAAACGACTTAATAAAAGACACAAGTTTGCTGACTTGCGTGTTAGAAAACTGTGATGCCCAGTGGGAGCTGATGTCGCTGTAAACGTGATCACAACAAAGAGCTGGTACCTCCAGTGGATAATTGCAGATCACACTAGAGAGCAATTTTTTTTCATTGGTACCAAAATGACTATGTTGCTGTATCCTATGTATGTTGCTGACTAACAAAATAAAACTGGAGAAAGTAGAGAGGAATGGGCTTATGCCGGTAGTGATGAAAAAGGAGTTGATCGGCAATATGGTGTATAAATAAGATCACCTTCACATCGCTAGTTTGATTATTTGGTCTGCACTAGGCAATAAAATAGTTATTATGTAGCATATAGTATATCCAAGGCTCCTGTGCACAGCTGGTTCAACTGCACATTGAACACGTCACATCGCGGAAAGGCTGGCGCACTAAATTCGGGAGTCCGAGCCTGCCTTCCCATGATACATCTCCAATAGTTTGTTTGGACCTACTGTATGGTTTGAACCTGAGTTTGTCATTTGGTGCAGAGTCATGCAGCCTGAGACTAGAGGTCTGCGCTTGACAGAATTTTCAGTCCCGCCCGCGTCCGCAAAGAATTGTACTTTTCACTCCCGCTCCTGCCCGTATCTGTGATATTTTGTCCCCCTCCTGCCCACAAATCCCACAAGATGGAGACGTTTGATTTTTTAAACTCTTAAACACGGAGAAGCGGAAAGGAATTGTCTAAAATATGCACGAGATTAGACCATATCCGCAAGTTTAGGCTGCTTAAAATGTTTTTATTAATGCCAAATAAAATATCCAGCACAAATGATGTCGTAAGGCAAGGCAAGGCAAGTTTATTTGTATAGCACAATTCGTACACAAAGTAATTCAAAGTGCTTTACAGAATAAGAAATACATTAAAATCATAATAAAAACAAATCAAAACATAAATAATCATGAAGATTAAAATTAAAAAAGAGAGACATAAATTGGAGAGAAGAGTGCGGAATGAAAACCGTACATGAATAATTTGTGTATTTTACTTTACACTAGGGATGGGCATGATTAGTCGATTAACTGATAATTGATCATTAATTGATCAATTAATAAATTTCATTGATTATGTTAATTTTAATCGCCAAACCGAATGTAGGGTGACCAAACGTCTGTGTCCGGGGACAAACGGGTCCGTACATGTAGCTCTCTGCACTCAGAAGGAGCGAGTAGACAGTCGTCAGCCTGCAATGTGCCGAAGCGCAAATGCGTATTTAACGATGACTTGTACAAGAAAATTCCACGCTTTCCGTTCCGGTCGGGACAAGTGTGAGGCCACGTGTGCAGTGAAGCAGGCACATATGTTTCGGTGTTTAGTGGGAAAAAGTTCACCAGGACACCGAAAACATGAAAAAGCTTTGCCAGGTGAGAGTAGAGCAATGTCGATGACAAGGCCCCACCTCCCGCCCCCCGTACAGTCTCCTGGTTTTGACAAACGCAAATATGGTCACACTAACCTGTGTTCCATTGAGTCGTGCCGCATCAGCGCACAAGAGCTGTTTTTTTTTTTTCTTCACTTAGTTTATGCAAATGAGCCATGCGGTTTAAAGTTTTGTTTCTGTGAGACTTGCGCAAATCTGCATTAAACACGTATGTTGTAAAGTTGAATTTACACATATTAGTAGTGCAGATAGTAATAATAATAATGATAATTTGAATATAAAAATGTTAATGATTAATCGATAATTGATCGTTAATTCTCTCAATGTTCGATTAAGAAAATTTAATCGAATGCCCATCCCTACTTTACACTCATATTGAATTTGCATGACTGCAGTTTATCATCCAACCAGCCCGCTCTCGCATTGTGTAGTTGGGTCCCGCGGGTGCAAGCTCTACCCGAGACCACCTCTTTTTTGAGGTCTCGGTCCGCTTGATTTAGTGAGGATCCAAGTGCGATTAATGCTTTTACACCAACGAAAATGAACCACACTAAGAGCTTTTGGTGCGGAACGTTTGGTGTGCAACAAGTGCTGTCATTGTGAAAGCACCTAAGTGATTAAAGATTGCTCAAACATGAATCACGAATCACTTAAAAACGACTTCCAGAGGGTAAATGAGAAGGAGAAACAACTATAACATGTTTTAAAGCTTTGAAAAGTCTGTAATGTCTATAATGACTACAATACTGAGTCTATATTAATAATTATATCTACTGGGATAACAATGTAATATCCATGTTTCACAAACTTGATGCCTCAACACCTCCTTATAGTACATCTGCTGCTTCTACTTCATGCTGACTTTGATTGACAGATCATGACAAAACACTGGCTTCCTACATTTGCTATTCTTGAATAATTATAGAATCTATGAAAAAGAAAGTGATCTAACAGATGTGAGTCAGCCCTGTGCAGATGTTACTTTGCCAATTAACCAAACATCCTCAAATAACCGGAAGATACCTGTTTTGGTATAAATGTCAAATCGGCTTGTTGGTGTTGGTAAAAAGTTTTTGCTTAAGACTGGCTTCCTCCTGTATTCATATCAGCTCTTGTTAAAGGTGCACTTGGTCATTTTTCTTATGTCGGAGTCCAGAAATCTTTTGTTTCCATGGAGATGTTATTCCTTTGTCTGGAATGTTTCACAGTAGTATGCATTAAACATATCTTGCATTTATACTTTTATTTATTCTCATGCTATAAAAATAGATTGAAAGATGCATTCGTACTGAGAACAGGGTTGCCTTTTTGACCCGTAACTTCACCGACTTGAATTTCCCTCGGGATCAATAAAGTATCTCTCTCTCTTCACCTGGAGGCGCTGCTTGCTTATCTCCATGGTGATGGTTAATGCTGCACTTTGGAACAGGGAACTAGGGCAATATATTCTTGGAGACTAGCAGGTGGCACTGTGATGGTGGAGAATAATAGGCATTTTTTTAATCTAACTTTTGTGAATGCTAAGTGATCACTGAGACGGATTTGACTATAGTTATGAACTACAAATTAATGTTTCCTCATAAAAAAATATGTACCTAGAGTTGTGTTTCGTTTCATTCACACTAGGGCTGTCGCGGTTTGGGAATTTCTCCTGCGGAACGGTATAGCAGCTCAACAGCGCGATATGCGATGATACAGCACCCCCTCCCTCACCCCACATCCCCCAGAGTTATAATATTTCCAGCGGCTCTGAAAACTCTCAGATGATGTGCTTGTTGCGCAGATGCACACGTACTTTGGTTGTGTGTGGATATAGCGTGTGCTAGGAGGGAGAAGTAACATTTGGCTTTGGAACAAGAGCAGCTGCATCTCTCCAGCTCTCACTGTGGCAGCTCGGGTCAGAGTCCTGCACCAGGTCGGGTCAGAGTCCTGCACCAGGTCGGGTCAGAGTCCTGCACCAGGTCGGGTCAGAGTCCTGCACCAGGTCGGGTCAGAGTCCTGCACCAGGTCGGGT